GCTTAATTGCATGTACTCAAAACCTAAAAATGTCCACGAATCGATAAGCACAATCACAATCACGATAACGATAAAATACCAACCCACTTTCCAAATGAAACAATTACGGAACTGTGTGGACATAAAATATTAAATTTTAAGAACATTTAGTGTATCAAAATTTGGTGTCTCACGTGTATTGAGAAAATATCATGTGACAAAAACTATAGAAAGGTAGGAGAGGATTAGCTGCAACTAATATCTGAAAAAGGAAGAGTAATTGATTGGAAATTACAAATCAGTAATCGTTGATATAAGTAAAACAGTCAAAAATAATGGATATAAAGGGCATATAATGTAAAAAATGAAGGATACACTCAAACCCCCACAAGACTCACAATTTGGGTCTTTTTAGAAATAGTTTTTCAAGGCTGTTAATCAATTTTTTCTGTAATCGAAATCTCTTCTATTGAATTAATAAAGGATTTGTTCGTTTATTAATTCTCTGCACTATGTGTTATTGTTTTCATTCGAAGATGTCCTCAAACAAGACATCTGAATTATTCACAAACAATCGGTTGTCGATTGAAATCTTTTCATTGATCTCAACAGATTTTAGAGAAACAAGTACCAATTTCAGTGTCATGCTAAATTTTTTTTTGATTTAATTCAAAGCAGCTTAAGATTAAGAAATACAAGTTTACGAGTCAAAAAAGTGATTTGATCCTAAATGTTAGGATCATTCTCAATTAATCCCATAATTTCATCCGATCAAATTGCAACTTTCGGTAATAATACCGAAAGCAATGTTTGGTTCCGGACCCATTCCCACACATCGACTTGTTAGCAAAGGTTAGTTGTATTTGAAAACAAGTGCGAATAATTTAACATAACCTGGTTGATTATTGAAGAAAAAAGTTTGTTAGGCATGGCTAAATTAGATGTACCCAAAACCGAAAGTCCACGAATCGATCAGCACTGCCACAACACTATAAAAAGCAAACCCACTTTTCGAAGGAAGAGAGAGGAGATCCCTCAATCAAAGAGGAGTTATAAGCCACCAGCACCATTAAAAAGAGACGTGAACTTATTGACTACATCCTCCTCTATCATTATTGCATAGGGCAGTTCCGCTCACAGTTTCCACCTAGCTATAGCTTTGCGTGGGCGTTTTTCTTGACCATGGACTTTTGTGAAAAGGCTGGCAAATGCAACCAAAAACAAGAGAGATGTCTTCACAATTCTCTCTCTCTCTCATCATCATCACACACACTTGTAGATATTTAGAATCACATTAATACCTAGAATATGACCATTCAATAACAATTTATAATTATAATATAAAATATGACAATAAATTTATCTGATCATCTCAAATAAATTCATTAAATCGTCACCAACATCCGTCTTGAAATTATTCATATTGAATTTCTCTCTCTTCCCTCTCTCAAATCCATTACTTCTTATTTTCGTTGTATCGTACATTAAACACTATTATTTGAATATAGTAACAACCCCCTAACCTGATTGTTTAACTTACATTATAACCAACTAATAGGAGAGCAACCCATCTTCTGAAGTTAGGGTCATTTTGTCTGACTTCCTTCGACATAGTTCTGTCAAGCGCCCTTGTGGGCTTATAATATCATAAAGAATTACAATTTCATTTTATTTTAGGGTTAATTGATTCTTAAAATATGTATTTTTTGTCAATTTAGTTATTAAAGTATTAATTTTGTCATTTTAGTCGTTAAAATTTCAATTTATGTCATTTTGGTTCCTAATCAGATAATTCGTTAAATTTTTTTACGAAAATGACCACGTGTCACTTTTTCAGACGGTATCACATGACCAACACATAATCATTCCGTTAAAAACTTAACGGTCAGTCTATGTAAGGACCATTTTGATATAAATTGAATACTTTAGGAATCAAATTAATAAAATTGATATTTTAAAGACTAAACTGATAAAAAATTTATACTTTAAAGACTAAAAGTGTTATTAACCCATATTTTAATTTGAGCTCTTTTGATCCTTCTTCCTCCCACGCAACAATGTAATAAAGTTCTTATCAAACCAGATATTTACAATTTGACCCACATGTATGTCCCAATAAGAATTCGACCGCAATTTTTGTAATAAAATTGGATTCAAATCGAGTTTAATTCTTGAGTTAGCACAAGTCTAACCGAAAATGCATGATCAATTCATGTTTACCCTTAATTCACTAATTCGAATCGGGTCCAAAAAACCCGAGACCTCAATATAAAATACTATACCTAAAAATACCACATAGGCTAACCTAGGATATGATTAATCCTTTCAAATTGCACTCTTCCACCACATGGTTCAACCAGTGGAAGGTGGGATTTAAACTTTGAATTTGTTCTCAATAGGGCGAAGAAAGTCATTGCCATGTCAAAGATTTACTATGAAGACACCAATTTGTACAAGTAAACGACTAGCTAGCTAGTACTAAACTTTAAACCCCCGTTGCCATTACAAGCATTGAATAACCCTTGTGGAAAAATGAGGCAACGAGAGCAAACAATGCGAATTGTATGACTTCAAATGATAACTCAAGTGATAATAGAGACGAGTTATAAATTTAGATATTTTAAATTTAAATTTTGACAATTTCTTATGGCCAGAAAATAAGAGATTTATCTCTCATAAATACCATAGTCCCGACGTGGATGATCTTTCTTTAACCGAACCAAGGAGGACCTGAACACCCTGACCATTAAACAAAAAGTATATATATAAATAGTGTTCCCCAGTTGCCATTAGAGTTGACAAGCGTTTGTATTAGGTTTATGTTGAATTTAATTATATTATGGATAATGCTATTAAAACTTAATTTGTTGACATAATTCACTATAGTCATTGAATTGATGATTGTATGTTTTATTAAATATTAAAATTTGGTATTAATTTAACAGCTATAATAAAATTACATATTAAGTAAATAAATTAGGTCAAATTTTTTAATCACAATAGCATTACTCTCAAATTATTTTTAACCTATTCCTTAAGCATATCTAACGGGGCTATCCAAGAAAGAGCTCCTATGTTATGCAACACCATGTGGTGGTCCCAAAAATGGTGTCGACTTGAGAATAACACAACATGTTGTATAGTAATAGTGACATAAGAATCTATACTATGTATTAAAAGAAACACTTTAGAAGAGGGAGTGTTTGAAAAGTTTTTCCTCTTCAAATTCTTTTTTATTTTTTTCTAATTTTGAATTATTAAGTGACCTACTCCAATTGAATTGCATTCTAACATGAGGTCTATATTACCATTTCCTACTTTTGATAACTATTTTACATTTGAATTTCTTGTCATCTTTATTAATTATTTTATGTTTTTTAGGATTAATAATTCTTTCTCGCTAAAGTATATACATTTTATAAATTTAGTTCCTAAAGTATCAATTTGATCATTAATGTTTTTATCGTGTTTAAATGATCCCTATATAAACAAGCCGTTAAATTTTTGTTAAAATGATCATTTGTTGATCACATGACACTGATTAAAAGAATGACACATGATTACTTTACTCAAAAAATTTAATAAATTATCTTGTTAGGGATAAAATTTATAAAACTAATAAAATAATGACTAAATTGGTAAAACCGACATATTTTAAGAATCAAAGGTATGGGTGGAAGTGGGGTGGAAGGAGGGGGTAACATATAATAATAACGCATTGTGTGAGACGACTTCTAATTTTAAAATCAAATACCTTAATCTTGTTATAATTTTATAATACATTTGCTGTCATGTAGTATTAAATTATCAAGGTGGTTACAGTTCCAAACTCTATTCACCAGAGTGGTAATATTTGTCCATATTGACCTCACAGAAACCAACCCCCCACTCCCCCCCCCCCCTCCCCTCGCTCCCTCGTCCCCAGTGTCACACACTCATATGCACCGTCACCGTTTGGTAACGGTGACGACGACGATGGGTGTTATCCAGTGCTGGCTTCTACATCACACATGGGAACTCACCTGGGGCCACCTCTATATTCCCATCCCACAGGGACGTTTTCATAACTTCAACACAACACAGCTCAAAAACGCGTCCACCAGTCTCTCACGCTTGACTCTGCGTCGATTTTCTCTATGAATCTGTTGACAAATCTTCTGAGAAGAAAGTGAGTGAGTGAGAGAGAGAGAGTCTTAGGTTTCTGTGAAAGGTTTTAATAGTTTTTTTAGAGAGAGGATGAGGATTTTGAGGGCCATCGACTCTTCAGAATGTCCAAGTCTACGTGGGATCTTAGTTATGAAAGCTTATCCCAAAAGGTACTCCTCCAAGATCCCATCTGATTTGGTCCTTTTCTTGGGCCTTGGCTTCATAGATTGGTAAATATTATCATCATATAAATCTCTGTTATCAATATTTGTGTCTCTACAAAGATACAGATTTTCTGTGTCTATTCTATCTTCTAACGATTGTTATAAGACTTGTGGATTGGATTTGGATGGCTGTGGTTCAGTTTTTCTCACCTGTTTTTGAAGGGTTTAAGGAGATTCTTTGGTTCGGGTTAGATGAAGTCTTCATCTAGTTCATTTCTTTTCTCTCTCTTTATAGCCAGAGATTTTGGGGATGTTTTTATTCTGTGTTCTGGGTCTTCCATGTCTTCATCTTGTTCTTGATTTCTCTCTTAATAACCTCTTCGTTCTCCAAGAAATCTATGTTTTTAGCTTTCCATTTGGAATGAAAACTTGGGTTTATGGATCGAGTTGGTTTTTCTTGGTTTTATAGGTTTATTGGATTGATAATCTTTTATCTAATTATTGCCGATTTAATGTGGTTGGGCTCTGAGCTTTGGGGCCAGTAGTTTTGGGATGAAAAAATCTAAGGTTATGAAGGAGGTGGAGTGTTATTATTTGGAATACTATGATAAAGGTGTTTACAAGATTACTCTTTTGTTGCAATCTTGTTGGGGATGAAAAATTGTAACCTACCATCCGAATTAGCTCTGAAACCAATTTAGATTTTGTGAAATGGTAGATTCTCTTCTCAAAGCTTTGTCAATGGAAAACCATCACCCATCCACCCTCTTGTCAATGGATTCAAGTACCTCATCGTCCCACGACGAATTAGACCTTGAGTTGAACCGCCAGATTCTCCTAACCCTTCCTCCTGATATCAATTTACCCTTGTCAGCTGAGCGTAGCCCTCCTCCCCAGTCGTGGAATTCGGAACCCTGTGATATTCTTGATGTTGGCCTTGCATCCCAAGTGTATGAGACTGAAACTTTTCATAGTGTCCCAAAGGTAGGAAGGAAAGGTGTGAAAAGGGTAGATAGCATATGGGGTGCTTGGTTTTTCTTTAGCTTTTACTTTAAGCCTGTTTTGAATGAGAAATCAAAGGCAAAGATTATAAGGGACAGCAATGGAGTTTCTGGATTTGATAAATCTGATCTCCAGCTTGATACATTCATGGTTCAGCATGACATGGAGAATATGTACATGTGGGTTTTCAAGGAAAGGCCCGAGAATGCGTTGGGTAAGATGCAACTCAGGAGTTACATGAATGGGCATTCTCGTCAAGGAGAGCGTCCCTTTCCATTTAGTGTTGATAAGGGTTTTGTCCGATCTCATAGAATGCAACGGAAGCACTACAGGGGCCTCTCAAACCCACAGTGCGTTCATGGGATTGAAGTTGTTCCATCCCCCAATCTCATGGGTCTTGAAGAAGATGAGCGCAAAAGGTGGATGGAACTTACAGGGAAGGATCTGAACTTCACAGTTTTACCAGAAGCTGGTGATTTTAGTTCGTGGAGAAACCTTCCTAACACTGAGTTTGAACTTGAGAGGCCACCGCCTCCAATAAAGAGTCACCCACATGGCAACTCAAAGAAATTGCTTAATGGTTCTGTGCTGAATCTGTCAACTCAGCCATCTAACCACAGCAATGGGGATGCAATGGAACTATCACCTCCCAACAACAAGAGGAGGAAGGACTTTTTCCCACATGGAAATGATGATGATTGCTATTTGGCGGTTACTACCACTTCTGATCGAGTTCCAGATTTGGAAATCCACCCCAATGATCCTCACTGGTTGAATGAGTTTAGTGGGGTAATGAGGAATGTTTATGGACCTGTCACAGCTGCAAAGACTATATATGAGGATGAAGACGGTTATTTGCTCATTATTAGTTTGCCCTTCGTCGATCTTCAAAGGGTAAAAGTTTCCTGGAGGAACACACTCACACATGGGATCATAAAGATATCTTGCCTGAGCACATCTCGTACGCCATTCATCAAGAGACATGACAGGACATTCAAGCTTACAGATCCATTGTCAGAACACTGCCCTCAAGGGGAATTTGTCAGAGAAATCCCACTTTCAACCCGGATTCCTGAAGACGCCCATATAGAAGCATATTATGACGGACCTGGAACAGCGCTTGAGATTTTGGTGCCAAAACTCCGTGAGGGGCCAGAAGAACATGAGGTTCGTGTTTGCCTTCGATCTCACCTTGGAGGTAATGATCTTATGTTGACCTGAGAAGCATACTTGGAAGAACTTATGGTTGGTGCTTCATTTGTGCCAGAGTGTAGCCTATGGAACACTAAATATGCATATCACTTTAGTTGTTTCGTTTTTCATCCCTAATTGCTATGGTTTTTTGTCTTATGCATTTGCTTCCTTTTTGATTGTAAGCAGCTCCCAACATTGAACATGTCTTCCAATCGCTCGTTCAAACGAGGAGCTATATATTCTGCAATCTATTTATTTTGCAGATGTGTGAAGCCTTTTCCTCTCACACATCATTTTATTTCTTCAATATAGGCACTAACGAAGGGATGACTTGTGAATTTGACTTTTGTGCATTCAGTGTTTTTTTTGAAAAAATAAAAAAGCTGATTCTTTTTCGGTTGTGTAAAAAGTTTTTTGTTTTAGAGTTAATGAGTATCGGGGGAACCCTTCCTGTTGTCTTCTTCTCCATGACCCTAGCCTACGAATACTATGAACACACCACCACCACCATCCCCTCCAGAAGTCATTGGATTTCCTCTCTTACGAAGCAAGACAATACATCATGTCGACTTGATTCCTTTGTGGGCTGTGTTGTTTATATGGGTTTTTAGAGAGACCAAAAAGGTCTCTCAGTGCACGAAGGTATCACCATTAGAGTGCAGAATGCTAAGGTATGACTTCCTCATGATTTTGAGGAGGGAAAGATACGTCTCAGGAAGGTAGGTACTACTAGTGGTGGTGCCTATCTACTGTGCAAGGGACCACTCATCTTTATAGCCAATGTTTGTGTGCTGCTGAGAAATGTGGAGATTAGTTGGAGTAACTGTTAGATATTTACTTGAGAACTGATCGAATCATTGGTGATTAATGGTGGAAGCCGAGTCAAATTCTATTATCTTGGTATAGATGATGGAGATTCTTTTCAACCCTGTACCATTTGGATTTGTGACAACTTTTTCCTTTTAACAATGTACTCAAAGGTAAGATCTTGAGATAGCAGCACTAATTAACACCTACGCTATTTTCGATCAAACTAATTTGACATTATTTTTGTGGTTTAAGTTTGTTAGTCAAACTATTAGTTACGAAGACAGTCCCTTTGCATGCCATCGACTTTTGTCTTAAAAAATGGTGGGTTTTTGCCAAAAGGATTGGAGAAGTAAGCAGCTAGATAGACTCAGTTGAGTTGGTTAAATTATTGATCCTTTTTGGTTGGTCAGGGAGAAGGGGGGGATATTAATTATTGTTGATGTTGATCTTGGAGTTGGAAGAGTGACAAAGGCCTGGCATTGGTAATGATGTATCAAGTTTCATTGCTAACTGTCGGCTGAAAAATATCTCATGACTGTGGGGAATAGAATTGGAATTTGAGTTGTGTCCTAGTTGTTAGGAATGAAACTATATCAAGGGCAGAAATAAAGGCGTTCTGCTAACGAGGGGAAGGCTTTATAGGGAGAGCTCGAGGATGGTTTCCAAATGAGAGTCTTTAGGCCTTTGGAAAATTTAACTTTTTTCAATGGTGCGGTCCTATCAAATATTGAAATTCGATATTAATTTAATGGCTGCAATGAAATTACATCATTAAATTAAATTTTTAGATCTAAATAACATTACTTTATTCTAATAAGCTTAAATGGATTCTAACTATCAAGTCTTGTCATGTTTTGTTGTTACGGTCGTTGTCATTTTGAAGATTTAATTTCATTTCGTAGAACTAAAGAAGCCAGTGTTGACACAAAATTCTCTTTTCTCTCAACCAAATCCATTTCACATATGCTAAAAGATTGATTTGTCATGTTGAAATCAAACTATTAGTATTTGATGTTAATCTAACACATTTATTATTTGTATATGTTAAGTGTAGAAGATTAACACAATATTAGAGAGAAGCAGAGAGAGGTTAAAAACTTAATCTATCTCTCATACATCACTTGTATTTATATTTAACTTACAATAATAATAATTACACATACACCCTATGATATTTACAGATAATACCCTAACGCTATTAACAATTTATATATACTATCCGAATACTCTAAACACTCCCTCTCAAATTGGACTATATATATTATATAATTCAATTTTGAAACAATTCACTGTAAGACGTGTACAACTCAATATTTTGGTGAACATATCTGCAAGTTGATCTTCATATTTTACAAATTGAGTCGTAATCTTCCCAGCTACTATCTTATCCCAAATAAAGTGACAATCAACCTCAATATGTTTGGTTCTCTCGTGAAGCACTGGATTAGCAGCGATATGGATAGTTATCTGGTTGTCACATAACAATTGTAAGGGAGGTTGAACTGGAAATCCAATTTTCTAAAGAAAGTGTAGTAGTCAATTCAACTCACTTGTCGTATGCGCTATTGCCTTATACTCAGCCTCAACACTGGATCTTGCTACCATGAATTGTTTTTAACTTTTTCATGAGACAACGTTATCTCCTAAGAAAGTACAATAACCAATGGTTGATCTTCGATCAGAAGGAGAGCCAGCTCAATCAGCATCTGAGAAACCTTCCACTCTAAGATGTCCATTAGTTCGATATAACAGTTCAAGTCCAAAAGCTCGCTTGAGATACTGTAGAATACGAGTAACAATCTCCCAATGTGATACTCTAGGACACTCCATGAATTAACTTACTATACTGACTGCATAGGAAATATCCAGTCGAGTAATATTGAGATAATTAAGCTTCCCAACTAATTTGCGATACCGACCCGAATTCTCAAACAGTGCACCATCATCTATCAATAGTTTCTGATTCGGATCTTAGGAATATCAATCGGTCTGCCATCCAGCAAACCTGCTTCCTCTAGTATGTCAAGTACATATTTTCTTTGTGATAAACAAATACTTTGTTTAGATCGAGTCACTTCAATTCCCAAGAAATACTTGAATTTTCACAAATCCTTAGTATAAAATCAATCTTGCAAGAAGATTTTTTACTTGACAGTCCCCTTAGAATCATTTCTAGTAATCACAATATCATCTACATAAGCCACCAATAGAACATATTCAGCATTCGTCTGTCTATGAAAAACAAAATGGTTTGTCTGACACCGAAGAAGACCAAATTCTAAAATTGTATCTGAAAACTTACCAAACCATGCCCTCAGTGACTGTTTTAAACCATACACAAATTTTTTTAACCGACATATACTCTTACCAGATTCTCCCTGAGCAGTAAACCCAAGTGACTGCTCTATGTATACTTTTTTAACCAAGTCACCATGTAGGAAGACTTTCTTGATGTTTAACTGAAACAAAGGTCAATCAAGATTAACAGTCAAAGAAATTAAGATATGAATAGAGGAAATTTTGGCAATAGAGAGAAAGTCTCCTCATAATCAACACTATAGGTCTAAGTAAAACCCTTTGCAACAAGTTAGGCTTTGAGACCCTGCACAGAACCATCCGGATGAAATTTAACAGTATACTGTAACACCCCAATCCATTTAGCAATATTCAGAGTGGTAATTATCTCAATGACGTATATACTGAATCTTCATTAAATATTAGAATCACTAAACACTTCAAAAATGAATAAATAACCTCCTGATAACTGTTTAAATTACAACCAATTAAAATCCTCCTTTCATTGATCAACCCGATTCTCCACCAATTTTTACTCCAAATTCAACTTGTAACTGAGAGGGTAAATAAGAGTGAGCTAGGGAAAGCTCAGTAAGTAATTTAAAACATAATATACGAAGTCAAAGGTGAGACGATAATTTATCAACTAACCGATAATCCATTGATGACGCAAGAGTTATTATGATAATTTACGGAGTACAAATATATTGAACAAGTCAACGATCTTGAACGTTTGAACAAATCAAATCAACCATGATTGAACACTCGGTCAATCCCGACAACAAGCTAGGCATCATTCGGTGCATTTTAATTAAATCATGTCCACCCGTCAAAGCCACGAACACGAATCACAATCATAACCATGCCACCGAGTATACCTTACGCACGAATCAAAAAATCTCAAGTATTTCACCAAAGCTAACATTATAACAATTAATGACAAGTCAAACAAAATATCAGCAATTGAATGAAATATTATTTCGAAACTCAAACCCAAGCGATATCATAATTTGAGTATGAATAGCACAATATCAATAAAATACTCTTTACAAAGAGATTAAAGGAATGCATATCATGTATAAACCACTTACCCAATTCTTAACCGATTGATATATTGATAACTTGAAATACCTCGAACAACATACTAGAAAAATCGGATGTCATCTTATTGTTGGTTTTCACAAGAGCAGTTGTAACTCTGTTTTTTTTTTTTTTCCTATCCCCTTCACAATTCTTATTCTCCAGGCAGTAGCTCTGCTTTTGTTTTATGCGGTTCTCCAGCCTTGATAAGAAATAGATTCACGTCACATACCATGCATTTGTATAACAGCCTTGATAAGAAATAGACACACGTCACATACCATGCATTTGTATAAATTGACAAGTGTCCTACTTTACACATCATGCTTTCTTTTATAGTTACCCATTTTTTTTCTTATTTCTTATCTTTTCTATTTTGTTTTGCTATCTTATTTTATTCCATCGTTGAAGACTAACCCATATTTTCATAGTTACACTTATCCTTTATTTATATATATATTTTTTTTCTTTACTCGATATATTTCGGTCACTATAAAATTTATAATAATCAAATATGTCACAATTAAATCCTAACTTACAACTTGACCCCAAATGAAATTCGTATAATTTCTAACAATATCATATAACTCGTAAAATTTTAATTATTTAATTTAGTTCGAGTTGAGACTTGGTCATCACATATACACCCAACGACAACTAACAGTTCGTTTATCAGGAGCTAAAGGAGTGAGATCTCAAGTCCTATTATAATGTAAGACATTCATCTCATCCTCCATAGCTTTCCTTTAACCCGGATTAGATAATGCATCTTGAAAATGCTTAGGAATAGATATAGTAGATAATTGAGAGGTAAAACAAGAGAAGATAGGAGACAAGGCATC